AATTCAACAACAAGTTCCTCAGGTACGGTACCAAACCTGCCAAAACCTCACAAAACCTGCTGTTGGAGTATGGCAGGTTTTGGGCAGTTAGGGTTAATGGTAGAGGCGACCAGCTGCAGCAGCTGTCCAAACTGTAACTGCAGTGCATCAGACACAAGGCCAGATCAATTTATTATGCTATTACCAGATGGAGGGCTTGCCAGTGGGATGAGAAGTACAGCTTACAAGGATCTTGACAGAAGCATGGTCATGATGTTGCATTGTGTTTTTGATTTATATAAATCACTCTCCTGAAGTGAATGAAGATCCATGCTCCCTATGTTTTTATGCCCCTATGCTTAAGTTCAGTGCTGCTGTGAATGCTTTTATGCTTAAGTTTCTGCATAAGGTCCCAGTGGTCTCAGAAGATACAAAAAGGTCATTACTAACGGTAGATGTGTGGCCTAAACGATGGCTGCTATTTATAGTTGCCATGTGCAGCATGTCTGACTTTTGCCTATATTCATCCAACTGTATCTTAAATTTTTAGTCAGTAATACTTGAGACAGATTACCCACTGTTTGAGAGTTAATCACGTGGATTGATTTTAACAGATGATATACACAGTCTGTATCTTGATTGGCTAAGTGCACATCATGTGACACTTTCTGTTTTGACCATTTTTGTACCAGCACTCTGAAAAAGACACACTACCACACAGCTGCAGCAGAGATTCAAGGAGTGCTATGACCTAAAGCAAGAGAATCACTATATCCTTGGCAACAAAGCCATGACTATCACCTGTACATGTATGTGTGTTGCAGTGCAAAGTGAAAAATAACCCATTACTCTTGGACCTGTGTACAAGGTTATAACTACATATACATGTACCCGTGTAATGACAAACAGGAACAAAGACACATATGCATGTAGTCAAGTGTCCTCATGATATACCCCCTCTTTGTCCAGAGTATGGACACTTTTGGAAACACCACAAGTTACTGATGTTAATATACGGTATGTACTTCTCACATACAAAGGCTGACAAGTCACATTTAATTGAGTATTAATTATATATAACGGGTTTGCCCTTACCCAACGTATATTAATAAGCATTTAGCTTGTGAGGTTTTTTTTGGCAAGCTCTCGGACAAGCACTGAGCATACAGTGCTTATTAATATACGTTGGGTAAGGGCAAACCCATTATATATAATTAACATCTCCCCAACGCAAAAATAAATCTTGAAAATTAATTGAGTATGTTTTGTTAGGTTTCAACTCAGCTGATCTAAGGGAATGCAGGGAACATTGATTTGTTCTCTTAAGGTAGCTTGAATTGTACAGAAGTTGTGGGTGAGGCATACTGATTGCATTATCCTGTGTTTTAGTAAAAACTAGTCTTCCTTGGAGATTCACGGAGCATACTGTTGTGTCAACTTTGCCTTGGGAAAATAAAATGCTCCGCTGACCACTTTGGGAGGCTAATCTTACAATATCACTTGAATTAGTTCATATTTCTATACCATTTTTGATATGTTTATGTAAATTACAGTTGACAAATGATATGTAGAAATCCAATTCAGAGAGTTACTGTTGTTCTCATGTAATTTTTAAAATTAGACGGAGGCAGAGTATGGCATCATTGAGCATGTGAGTATGAAAAACTTCATGTGTCACAAGCGTCTGGAGTTCAACTTTGGTCCAAACGTCAACTTCATAGTGGGACGAAATGGAAGTAAGTTTGTAGCCAGAATGATCATCGTTTTGGAAACTTGGGGAGTATTTGGGTGATATACATGTACATGGATATGGATATTACAAGAAAAAAAGAAGACTGTGTGGTACTGATGAACTGATAATGAGACTTGGGAAAAATAAAGCAGTGCTAAGCAGAAGATGTTAGGTACTAGTGGCTGACTGGGCCCTCATCAGAGCTTAATGTGCAAACATGTGTTTTCAGATCATGCAGTGTCTTTCAACAAGTCTTTCACTGACTCATGACCCAGTGTAGCCTTTTCAAAGCTTCAGTTCTGTGATCATGTTCGGTGACACTCTGTCTTCTATACATACAAACCTGTAGGTGGGAAGAGTGCTGTTTTGACAGCTATCGTTGTTGGACTTGGAGGGAAAGCAACAGCCACCAACAGGGGCAGCTCAATTAAGAACTTCATCAAGGACACGGAACAGTAAGTTTAAAAAAAATCAGTGGCAAAGTGAATCCTTTTGCAGTTATGCATACAAAGGATAAGGTTCTGCTCCCTGTAAAAGACTTTCCATTTCAGATTGTAAATTGAGTCAGTGATTGCTATGCACAGTCCTTTAATATTTTGTGTCAAAATGTAATTGTGTTCAATTATTTTTTTCTGAGCAAGGTTTGATTAAAGATTAGAGCATTGTGGCGCTGAAACTTGTGATCTGCAAATATTCTATTTTCCTAAATTAAGTTTTACGTCTTTTTCTCTTGTAATTGAATAAATAATCATTACTCATATTGCTATTTGAGTCTGTGACAGGCCAGTAAATTTGACCAAACATTGTCTTTCTTACATTGAAACATTTCCCTCATTAACACAATTTTCTTGTTCTGTTCCATTGCCTTTGCTTCTCAAATCCATAGAAAGTGTGTGTGCCAGTTTGTTGTACAAATTACTGAACGTGCTAAATTCATTCCAGATTTGCACAGGAAGCAGATGTAAACTATGTTGTTTTTCTCCGTTTGTATTAAATCTAATAATGACTGAAGGCAGATAGCCACACAGTGTACACGAAACCAGTCTCTCTATATTTGAAATTTTAAATGAGCTACTTTAATATCATTTTGTGCGCACTCATTCAGACAAGCAGAGATCACCATCAAACTGCGTAACCGGGGACTGGACTCGTACAAACCTGAGGTGTACGGGTCAACCATCATCGTGGAAAGACGTCTGAAAGCAGACGGCATCTCCAGCTATAAATTGAGAGCCAAAGATGGGAAGGTCATCTCGCAGAAGTATGCTGAACTACAGCAGATAAAGGACCAGTTCAACATTCAGGTAATGGCATCTTGGATCAGTTACCAAGAAGCTTGGAAAAATATTCTCTCTGATCTTGTAACTGACCTCTCAAAAGTCTATCAATGTTATGTTTGTCAGTGGTATGATATGTCAAGATTTCCCCAGAATTGAGGGTTTATTAACCCAAAATATCTGGAATTGTAGATGTGTTGTCATTTGGGTTTTATTTCTTATTTTTGAATTTTTTGGGTCTTTACGTGGAAAGGCTCGGGGGTAGGTTGGTCTCACTAAGCCTAAGTTTGTGGGGCTTTGACCCCCCCTACCCCTCGTTCTTTACATCAGAAAACATTACATACTCGAAAGTACCAGACTTGCTGACAGTGCAGCCACACTGCCATGGTCATCCCTTGTGGGGGTAAGACCCCCTCTGTCTGCAACTGAAAATATTAAACTGAGAATTCCACTCTAAACAGCATGGACCAAACAGCAAAAGATACCCTGTTTACTGAGATCATGTCCTCAATTTAAGAACTAAGCGATCGCTGATTACTACACAAAGAACATTTTGCATAGACCAAGTGGCGCAGAATTCTTTAGCAGACAATCTTACAAAGTCAGTGTGGATTCTATCTTGGACCACCGGCTTTGCTCTAAGAATCACTGTATCGGCGCTGACCGCAGCTTTATCAAACAAAGTCTTGCAACACGAAGACTAGATGAGCCATTTGACAACAGAGACTAAGTACCACAGCAACGCAGTTTTTATGGGTGTCCAACCCAACACCATGAAGGACACAAGACGAAGTCAAAGAAAAATTTTCCCTGGACAATTAGCCAATTGAAGAGGTTCCTAGATGGGGCTACTCATTTCTGTACGGAGTACAGTAATGCAGTGGTTGACGTGGTTGAAGAGAAAAGAGTACTTTTCTTGGCGGCCGAAGATTGAACCGCATCATCCACCTGTGAAGGTTGTGACTTCTCTTTCAAGACAACCTGGGCCCAGGTACACCTTGTAATGACTGCGCTCGCAAAGGAGTTGGGGCACAATTTAAAATTGTGACCCTCCTTCCTGCAAACGGTACACACTACTCGATTGGGACACCCTGAAGCAATGTGTCCTACCCAGACACTTATAACATTTCCTTTCCTCACAGGACTTGGCAAAGTGGCCCTGTTGGCCGCATCTTGCACAAGTCTGGGGTTGCCCAATGTAAGAAACCCATGCATTTCTGTTCCCAACCCGGAGTACCGACGAACTGCGAGTCCGTATTTTCGTTTTATACTGTCGAGTGCCATTAAATTAGTGGGCTCCCCAGCGTGGGTACAAAACCGACTCTGGAGCACCTCACCGTATCTTGAGAGAAGTCTCCGAACGACATTGTCGTCGACGTCATGGGAGATGCAATGCACCGTGACGATGGCCACTCCCTGATATGAAACTCCCTGACATCCAGGTATAGATGTCAAGGCAGGTCAAAAATGCAGAGCCAATTCTGGCGCTTTGAAAACAACATCAAAACGATTGCCAGGTAGTGGCTGGACTGCCGAGAAGTGGTCTTTCGCCTCTATCTCCAACCTCCGAAATTCTTCAAAAATCTTCTCAGACTTAACTTCACTGTCAAACCGAAGTTTGACAGTGCACTCGTTATACTTGCTGAAGGTGGGCATCGTTCCTGACCCCCAACAGACTAAATGAAAATGCCACAAGGTATGCACCTGCAAACACGGATGGACGAAAAACCATGAAATGTATACACAAAATGGATGGCACAAATGGTACAGTGGTAGAACTTCTAACTGCACAACAAAAAGGAAAAGCAAGCAAAGGCACTAAACTGCTGTACAAAGTTTATATTTAGAGAATACACCAATATATAATAATAAAATAATAATATTTATTGTTTAAAGCCCATTACATCATAAAACAGATCTCAACCGGCTGTACATAATACTTTTACCTTGAGACTAAAAATAAGATTACCTACAAATTATACAGTAAAAGGTAAAATAAAATACCCAGCGCCCCTAAAAGAGCAGCCACCCACCAAATACCCACAAATGGTGGATTCAACACCTTAGCCTTCAGAGTGTAGCTACAAGTAACATAATAAAAGAGACTCAAAATAAAAAAGTTATTAAAACATCACTACAAAAAACTTAAACGCAAGTATGTACAATATAACATTATAACAAGCAAAGATGATACATGTACATTTATGAATGGTGCGCCACCCCGAAAGAGATGTGTTTTTAACCAAGACTTAAAACAGTTTAGAGTGGGGGACTGCCTATAGTGTGGCTCATTGAGCTGTGATATCTTAACCCTAACCGCTAGGGTGCATGTAAAGTAATATTGAATCTGGAGGATTTAGGACTATTAGGGTAAAGGATCTGGTATTCCTTTCTCTTTGGCAACGAGAAACAAGATCAGTTTACGTACAAAGGAGCCTGATCTTGAAGTATCTTGTGAAAACCATAACTAAAGTCTTGAAATTGATTTGCTGTGCAACTGGGAGCCAGTGCAGAAAACAAAGAACCAAGGTTATATGTGAAGATTTAGAGAACAATATACTAAGCGTGTGGCTGCATTCTGAATGGCTTGGAGGTGCTTAATTAAGTGATTAGGTGCATGATAAAAGACACTGTTCAGGTAGTCGAATTGAGACGTAATGAAAGCATGGACTAATCTTTCAGTGCTTATTCGGTCTAAGATTCTAGAATACGGCAAATACGATGCAGAGCAAACGATGCAGACTTGCACATTGAGATAATATGACCAGGCAGTGAACAAACGGAATTAAGATAAAAACCAAAGTTTCTAACTGACGAGTCGGTTGGACTCACAGAGACTTGACCAATGCAAATAGAATCCAGTTTTGAAGGATTACGGAACTAAAAGTGAATGTGCAAAACTTCGGTCTTACTATCGTTTAAAAGTAGTCTCTTGGAAGTTATCCAAAACAAACTTTGTCTAAGCGTTGTTCGAGAAGTGTAGTATTCAATTCACCAGCTTTACCTGTACAATAAATGATCAATCGTGTCGAACGTGGATGATAAGTCCAACATAACTAAGATAACCTCTTGATGATTGTCGAGGGCTACTAAAATATCATCACAAACTTTTATAAGAGCCGTCTCTGTTGAATGGAGCTGGCAATAAACAGATTGAAATTTACAATTCATAGTGACCTGATAGATATTCGTTAATTCTGTAGTGTAATTCCCAGTGAAGAGAGAAAGTGAGGCGGTGAGGCCAAATTTTGGGGTTCCTGTGTCACTCTCAAATTTTGGTTTATTGGAGATTTCCACTTGGCTCATGAAAAGATCTGCCAGTACAAAATTATTAATTTAAACAAACATGAATCTTTGGCTCTTTAAATTAAATTAAATTAAATACCAATTTCCATGATCAATGAAGAGTATTGCTGGTGCTACATGTAACTTAAGATGTAACATGTACATGCTGCGGATTTCCAAGGTCATGCATAATG